AGTTTACAACTTCATTCTTTCTGAGCTTTTGATGTTTCTTATTGACAATTGTTTGATGTCAATAAAGGTACATGTATTTCAAAAACATTCATTACCTTTACTAGCACCCTGTTCCTACACAAAGTCCACTTTCTCAAAGGAGGGAGTTCGGTGGGTTTGCATTTTTTTGGAATCCCAACAAATATGGTACATGTATTAATGAAAAGCTTTTTTCAAGAGAAATTCATTTGGGTGCGAACCAGATTCATATCTCAAACTTTATTCAAGTTGCGTCATTTTTATAGAAAAAAATTAACCACTTCCTGTCCGTAAATTTGGACTTGACACCACTCTCCTAATATGAAAAGGCACTGTTTTTTTGTTTCACTAAATGAAAGTCAACCAACTGAGTATCATTAAATAGCCCTTTTAGAACTGCAATTGCTGGTTTGTCAGTCATATTTTTACTTTTCAATTTAACATAGATATCGATATTTAAAAATGGAGATTTAATGTGTTGCTTTGGACAGGTTTATAGACAGCATGCTACCGTACATGTAGAGATATATGCAGTTCCCTCTCCAGTGCAGGAACATAACTAAGAAGAGTAAATTATGCTTACCTGTGTAGCGGGCATAATATGATAATCATGACACCTGCTTACATAATTTATTTTTTTACAAGTTTACGCCTTTTATATTGTCAGCCAACCAGTGGAGATTAGTTCGTTGCCGACTAAGATAGCGAAAAGTTTTCACACGCTTTACAAAATACAAGCTTTAGAGAATATATATATATAAAAAATAACGAGAAAAATCCAGGGATTTTATTCACAGAAAATAATTATTAATTAACAACGAAAATGAATAAAGGGCCTAGCTTGAAGATGTGTTGAAGTTGGGGATGAGTTGTCTTGGCTTCACTTGGCAAGAAGCGGCAGAACTTGCAGTTGAAGGACTTGCAATACAAGGGGGCTTGAATGAATTCCAAAGATCATTGGCTAAGTGCAGATGGTGTGCAGATGATGTGCAGATGGTGTGTAGAGCTCGATTGCACAGTCTCTCCTTCCCCAGCTTGAGTAAATCAGGTGTGGGGAACAGCATTCATGTGACTCTGCTGCAAGTCACCCACTGTCCAACAGTATATGGAGCTCAATAGGCTCACTGATGTTACCCTAGTGCCTCAGTACTAGTGGTGTCTTTGCCTAGAGCAGGACAGGGACAAATATGTAATTGTGGCAGGTTCAATGCAAGGAGAGATCACAGATACAACAGAACAGTCTCTTTGGAGTCCAGTAGCCAAGTGGAGTGGAGGGTCACTGGCCACTGAATTTATCTGCTCCTCCTCAAGGACTCTTGTGGTTGGTTGCAAGTTCTGCTACCAACCTGCCCACACGCGCTGCCAAGCAACCCACACATTTCTAAGAAACTGCATGACCTAATCCTGGGGGAGTTAGCATTTCAAAAAAATAGGGGGCACAAAATTCATCCTATTACACCTGTATTTGAACCTGCAAATTGAACTTACACTTACTCAAGAAAACTTCTGCAAAACTTTCCAACAGGCAAGTGCACTAGGTCTCCCCCCCCCAAAAAAAAACTAATATAAAGCTAGATGTATAATATTGCTTTCAACAGGAAAACAATGTCTATAATCTCAAATGTTGAAATAAAAGGGAAAAATGTACAAAGGTTGGGCTTACATGAAGGAAATTAACCCAAGCCCCCACAAATGTAATTTATTAAGTATGAAGTTCACAAGAGTAGTTGAACTTTTGCAAAATAACCCCCCCCCCAATTTGACTGTACAGTTTTTAGTTAGAATTGAGAGGAACAACAGAACATGTGGAAAATTATGGTGTACTTTATCGATCGGCGATCAGATGCGCTCACACTCAAGATCTAAACCTCAATCTTCCTAAGGTGTTTCTGACCCAAATTTTTCAAAATGATAGCTACATGTAGTTTCTTGTAGATGTACCGGAAAGCCTCTAAAATGTCACTTGAAATAATGCCTGTTTTTAGCGGATCAAAACTTCCAGAAAACTTTTCTTACGGAACTTTCATTAAAGGGTTTGGTCAACTCAAACTCTATCCATTCATGCAAAATTGATGAAAAACGTGTGGTCCCTGGGGCTAGAAATTGATTTTACTGTGTCGTGTCTAGGGGGAGTCAGGTAACCACATTTTTGTACACAAACATGATGTATGCGCACTAACCCATGCACAGATTACATGTATATTAGCTGTTTAACTCCTGCTTGGCCATGCTTGGAAATGCATAGGCCTTTTAACTGTTGTGTCACCATTTTTCACCGGCGTTAAACTACCATTTCATATGTCCTTAATGAAAAAGTCCAATTTTTTCATTGGTAATGGTTTCAGATGGTGTCTCAAAATACTTTACTGCTGAAAACCATCATTTTTAGAAGAAACCGAGAGGAAAAGATTTCCTGTTTTTGGTGCAAAATCAACGGATTCTGCCACGCTACTGATACCTCCAGATTGAAATGCAACAAATTTGGTATCAGTGAATAGCACTTTTCACAAACATCACAAAAATCCTTTGTAAGGCCATATAACAGGGGAAAGGTTATTAAGACCCTTCCATGACGTCTTTCCGCTACGCCGTGAAGCAAGATCATGGCCACGCCATTTGGCAAGTCTTAAACAATACCTTGGACGTCTGCAAAATTAAAAGTTAAAATTCACAACGTTTCACCACATATTAGCCATCAATTGAAAAAGGAATCCTCCAACTCTCCAGAAATTATTTCAAAATTGAATTTGAGCAACAGGAACTATTCCCGAGAAGGCAAAATTTGCAGTCTTTTTTTACACAATTCCAGATACAATCAATTGACCTGTTTTGCCTGAACTCACTACTCAAACTACATGTAACTAACAGTTTAAGCTTATGGAACATTACTCAATCCTGACAGGCCTAGTTTAGGTAGATTTGACAATATTTTGAGTAAGAAAACCACACATTTTTAACCCGAGTTTGGCAAAAGACAACTGCTCTGTCAAATCACGCCATTTTGTGTCTCATCTTGTCACCCCACTCAGGCATGTTGGATTCACCAAAACGGATCTCCGTCCAGGTCAAGGAACCAGACTACATTTGTTAATTTGTCATTGTTCACAGCTCTTCAGGGCAGTCATGTACACGTATGCTGCTGTTTAACCCACGATTTCCCTCAAAAACCAAAAGCCCTGTTCTCTTTTCTTTCTGATATGAAAGAGGACATCACCAACAACTTGTGTCGATCAGTTGTTTCGAAAAAGTAGAATTTGTTCCTTTATCATAGGAACAGGGTGGTAAAGGTAATGAAACACCCAAAATAGTAGTAAAATTATCCGTTCAGCTACATGTAGCTGCCCACTTCTATCCAAAATATGCCACAGGTTAGGGATTTTTGTGAAAGAAATACCCCGAACTGGAAACTACATGTACCGATCCCAAATTGGTGAAAATTATAGAAATATCGCTATCATGTCTGTTCATGTTTGATCCCTCCTGATTATGTTCTGTCTTATTGTGAAAACCCTGTGAGATCGCAAAATATTGACTCGCGTGTAGAAACCCAACGATTTGGTTGAATACATCCTTTAATATCGAGGGACAGTTTCACAGTCTAAAATACAGAAACCAATTCCAAAAATTGAATACTCTTTCCTGTTTTTCTGAAGAAGGATAACACAGTTTGTTCCATTGCCACTGAATGCGGCAGTGTTTTGTGTGCAGTACATGTATGTGTGCTTGTTTCAGTAAACAAAAGGGAAAATCAACCATCGTCTACAAAACTATGGGACGTAGAAAAAACTACCAGAAAGAGGACAAAAAGACAGAATTTTTGATTCAAACTTTCTGATTTCCATTTCCCTGGTGTCCAATTTTTTTTTTTTTTAAGAAAACATGGGGGAATTTCAGGCCCCGTTTCCAGTTATTTTAGGACAGAATAGTCAATAACCCCTCCAGGAGGCCCAGTATACATTCCTCTGATATTCTTCTGTAATCTTCACTGTTTGGACAACTTCCATTGAAGACAAAAATGCTTGTGTTCTCCACCTGTACATAAAAAAACAAAAAAGGGACAGGCCGCCCCCTTTTGTTCTGTACATGGGCGCCGCCATCTTGTCTTTACAGGTTGCACTACACCAAACAATATCCCATAAAGGGTACATGTAGAAAACAGTGCAAAATCGGAAAAAATTGGCATGGCCTGTTGACTCTGGGGAAGAGGTTGGCCTCCGGTTTTTCACTTGAAATTTGAGATTATGGCCGGAAATTCACTTTTTGTTTCAATTTTATCAGTGTTAGCCATGCGATTTTTATTATTCGCCTTTCCCCGAAGATACCCCCAAAATAGCAGTTAAACTATGCGCTCTGTACACATGTATGTGTGTAATTCTTAGCCATGACTGGACTGACTGGTTGAAATGGCAGTTATATGTAGCTGCAGCGCTCTGGGGTTCAAACACAGTGACCAATCACAGGGTGCCTCATTATCTATGCCCAAATGGCAAGAACGACAAGCAACAGCGCGCATCGCACTGAAGATTGCTGCGAGCCACATGCGAGATAGCACTTGCTGTACAAACGTGGTAAGTTTGATCAGCAGCAATTTGTTAAACCACTGGTTGATTTTCCATGGTGCCCGATATATATTTAATGCATCGGTTATCAGTCAAAATTGAACATTGGTTGATTATTTGTCGCTGATCAAACTTTCCCCTTCATTCACACTGCAAGGGCGCTGGTGCAGACGTGCACTCAGACCCAACGGCTGTCGCTAAGAGTTGCTCACACACACATACAGAAAGTGGCAGCAACCAATTTCCATATCTTGTGTATCAATCGCTGCCGTAGACAACAATTTGGTTGCAGCTTGTCTTCACAAGTACATGTACACATGTGAACCACATGACTCTTGGACGCTGATCGGGAACTATTTGCACCTTTTAAAAAAAATTAGCATGGTTTTTGCCCGTTTTTCTTGGTACAAAGTACATGTACATGTACGAAGGAATGCTAGCTACGCGTACCATACATAAAACTCTTGGGGGCAATGGAGCAGCATTTCTATGGGTACACAACCGTCATGAAATCCCTGTTCATGCCCTGTCAAACGTCATGTACATGTATATGTACAGCCTATGGCAAAAAAGGGTCGTTTTCTGTGGGATTTGTGGGAGCAGGGCAGATGTCAGACCCCACAGTTCTTGGGTATAGGATTGTCACAAACTTTGAATCTTAATATCTTCTGAAATGGAAATGACTGGACAATTTTACTTGCGCCAACATATTCCTCAGAGTTTGGACTTTTCACGGGCACCCTAAAACTTTCCAAAACCGTAAGTTTTCCAATGTACATGTATGGCACCTTAAAAAACCCGACCTGTGGTACATGCTTACCGTGGATGGGTGCGGATGGTGTAGTGTACTGTACATACATGTATATGTATTAATGTTACTCAAATTTCATTTCTCTGTTCGTCTGGCACACAAGCAATGACTCTCAAGGTGACAGGAACCAGTTTTGTTGTGACTGTCGCGAGCCTTGAAATCTGACACACAAAGCATTGCCTTTGTTAACAAGCATTATTTTCAATCCCGCAGTTTGGATTTCAAGCATTAAAGTCATGCCTTGAAGTAGGGCTGTGATGGCAACAGAAAACAGATTTCCAAAGAGAGGCATTTGCAGCCCTATTTGTGGGGCTAACCAGGAGGATAAGTGCTTTACTAAATATCAATATGCTAGGCTTGTTGATGGAGTAACACAGGAGTTTATCTAGCTCCGTTAATTCATTAAATTTCACCTAACAAATCGCCTTAAATCTCTGCGAATCTTGCCCATCGAGCAAGGAAATTATCGATAACATTCAATACTATCCTTCGCTGCATTCTGGATATCAATATGCCGCCGACAAAAGATAAAAAACAACCAGTTACGGTCGATGCAAACAGCACGCCCATGCCTGAATCAACTGACAATGCCTATGAGTCCACCATTACGTAAGATGCATCAGTAACCAAACTTTCATTAATAGAGGTCCTACAAAATGAGCTACAGGAATCCCAAGCAGGAATTCCAGGTAAACTAGACTTGGTTATCTCCAATCAAGAATCCCTGCTGCAAAGAATGGACAGTATGGAATCCAGACAAACGGATATGGAAAAGTCAGTAATCCGCACCTCCGAATGTATTGATGAAATCAAGGCCAAAAACCAAGATCTCCAATCAAAGTTGGACAAAGTCACAGTACAGTTGTATGAAGCAGAGAAAAAAGTTGCCCAACATGAAGCCTCAACTCTCAACCCAGAACACTATTCCAGAAGCTACATGTATAACATCAGATTCGGAGGGATTCCGGAACTATCAAATGAACCACCTGCTACCCATATAATAAAAGTAAAGAAATCTTGTCAGAAAAATGTCAACTGGAGCCTAAAATTGAGAATGCCCACCGCTCTGGACCTCCTTCCAGATCGCCCAATAGTAGACCTCGGCCCATCCTAGCCAAGTTCTTGTATCGACCAGAGAGACAGGCAGTACTACTTAAGGAAAAGGCAACTCTGACTGACTGTGGCATCTACATGGTCCAAGACCTACCGGCAGCAGATGTCGCAGGGAAGAAAGCACTCAAAGAAGTCATGGACAAAGCATACAAGGCCGGCAAGAGACCCGTCTTTCGCAACGGACAGTTATTTATCAATGGTCAGAGGTATACTCCCACTCGACCCTCCCAACTCATAAAAGCTTGCCAAGAGACCAAGGTGATTATATGTATCAGTATTTCCATCCATATCATAATTTGGTGTCCTAAGAATCTGATTACTTGAACGGAGCAGTATGAAGCTGTTGTGTTACCCCATCATAACATGCAAAATTAAATATTACTGTTATCCACTGATCTACACTAGCAGGAATTCATACATGTAATCTTACTAGCACTATTCTCACATTTATTTCCTTTTGTGACTTGGTAGTGTTTGTTTTAATTTTAGTACTTATGCCTGTTAAATTTCCTGTTAGTAACCCTGTGAGACGTAATCAAAATGGGATTTTCTGTGATAATTGTAAACTTTGGATGCACCTTAAATGTACTCATTTGGACCTCACTGACTACTATAACTAAACGAAAGATGATAATGCTTGGCTCTGTCCACAGTGCCTACATGTAGTTGATACTTTACCATTTAATTGTTTAGATCCTAAAGAATTTGATAGTGTGATAATGGACTTGTTCATCTACACCTGTGCCTATGACATCAGAGACCATATTAGACTTACACCCTGATGAGTTACCATTTCTAGAAGATCCAGATAACCCTTAACCTACATGTGTACATGTATGATGAGTAACTCCTCTTACTCTTCACATAACAACTTTCAGGACTACTTCAGTGCTAACCCAGCGGAAACTTTCGCGCTTCTACATGTACATGTAAACATGAGAAGCTTACCAAAAAATAATGATTCTTTGAAACTTTTGCTTCATCCCTTAAATCATAACCTTTCCATCATAGGTTTGAGTGAAACTTGGCTCAACGCTAACTCAAGTATGAGTGAATTGGATATACCTGGGTATACTCTTGTACACTGTAACTAAAAATAGACAAAATGGAACTGGAGGTTGTGTTGGATTATATATCCTAAGTAGCCTCCAACATGTTTTGAGGCCAGACCTGAATGCCATTAATGATAGCACTCCAGAATATTTCTATCAAAATTATTACCCCTCATAACCAAAAGAACATAATTGTTGGGGTCGTATATCAACCACCAGATGCTAACTTTGATGTTTTCCTAAGCTCACTTAATGTAATCCTCCATAATGCGACCAAAGATAATAAATATGCTGGACAAGCTGTGCTTCTTAGTGGTCCCTCCACCTTTGTGTGGAAATAAAGTCAAGTAAATAAATGAATGAATGTTAGGCCTACCACTGGCTATCTCTGACTACCTCCGGCTATACACCAACTTTTACCAACTGCCCTAATTTTTGCATATATACAAGTATTCGTACATCCAGCTTTCTCATAAGGTATGCCTAGTCTGGGTAATTTGGACTTTGCAAATCACCTTTTTTAACATAGATTTAGATATGATCAGGCGATAGTAGAGTATGAGTACCTTCCATACATGTACAGTGTACATGTACTGTAGGTTTTCCGTCCCATTCATTTCACTCCAAATACATGTACATATAGCTTGTACCATGAAGCAAAATCCTCCAAATTCACCTCCAAAACGGTCACTAAACTGTCTAATGTGTGTGGCTTAGGAGATTCCAATATGATGGTAAGATTTACTCACATTTGGGAAGAAAAGAGAAATTTCCCCTCCAATTTGGAAACACTCTTGTTTTCGAGCTCGAAGTCGCCATCTTGTTCCAGTAGTGATTTAAACCATATATTAATGTCCTGGAGATGACGTCATGATGTGCTGGCCTCTAGCAGCCCATGTGCGCCGACTGATTCCTGAGCCGCAATATTTGGTAGCATAGTCACATTGAAAAAGTCACAGTACTTCTCTATGACATCAAGTTGTGTATGGTTTGTGTGTTTCCAATCTGTACATGTATGCGGTTTGTGGCTTTGAAGGATTTCTTTTTTTCTCAGACTTTGGGAGCCCTTTACAACATTCAACATTAGTTTGTAAAAAGTGAACGATGAGAGAACAAATAAGAGGTTGATTGAAGATTTGTACACACTTGGAGAGGAGTTGAGTCACATGTACAATGTACACCAACATCAGTCCTTACACAGCTGTACTTGTGGGCTATTTCCTTTGTTTTTGTGTACAAAACTCCCACACAATATGTAAAAAATTTCAAATCACTCCAATTTAAACCAAATTCACTTTCCTGGGACAAAATTTCGACCGTATGTCCCTTATATAAAACACTTCAATTTACGACAGATTTTTACCCATCAAAAATTTCCCCATTTTGAGTTATTTCCAAATATCAGTTTCCTAAAATTCTTGTGGGGTACCAATTTTCACAAGGTAAAATCTGGCCTTGTGGGTTACTTCCCATTGTTCCGGTACCCCACAAGGCCCTGTGTATAAGTTGATGTACGTGTTCGTGGTCCCTTAAAGTCACTGGGTTCCAACTAGAATGTTATTCATGAAGGTACATGTACTCTGCATACATTTATTGTAGGCCTGTGTTTCAGTCTGCCTGAACTGTAGCTAAATACATATGTTTGAACTCCTGGTTTTTTGTGTGCATGTAGATCAAGATGGCCCATGCTGAGGTTGTAGATGTAGATGACAGTGCTCTGTCACACAGGTTGCAAAAGCCACATGGCATGCATGCAGCAGTCCTACTAGACCTATGGAGCAGCAGTGATGAAGAAGCTAGCCACAGTATTCACTCTCACGAACTGGCGCCTGACACACCGAGGTGAGCCAGGAACATTGTATTCTAATGAAAAGTCAACCATAGTAATGCTTGAGGCCAGAGCAAACTCACAGAACATAGACCATTAGAATATGCATGTCTGTCTACCATCTCCCAATGCTTTTCATTATTGTACTGCCTTGTTTGCTGATTTATGTAGACCATTAGTGTTTAGTTCACTTTATTTGACAGTGTATTTGTACAAATACAAAGGTACATATACGATGGCATTTGTCCAGTTCCATTTGCCTGTCAATTTATCTCAAGCCCTTTCCACCACGTGTTTATATCCAGCATGTCCATTGTCCAGCCATGGAAAGTTCTGCACAGGACATGTACCTGTACATATGCAAAGCTGCTGGGACATGGTCAATAAGGACATTCATTTGATGTACTTTTAAGATTGAGGACAAAATTGGTCAAGAGGGACATGCAGATTATCATTCAACATATTTCAGTGGGATTAAGAATATTTTAACACTTACAGTGGAACGTCGTTAACAAGGGATCCTTCGGACTTGGCAGACTAATTCGTCCTCACAGGAACCTGGTATTATCAGGAATGATCAACCAATGAAAAACAAATGATTGGGACCTAAAAATGTCCTTGTTATAAGAAGAATTTTGCATTAACAGTGCTGTCATTAATGAGGTTCAACTAAGTATCAATATATTTTTGCCACCTGTTGTTTCCTGATGACAGGCTAAAAATGTTTTGGACAGGTAGATTTTGCTTGTTCAGATTCCACAATCACACCTTTTTTAACACAAGCCTTCACACTGAGGAGCAGATCATGAAATTTTCTTCCAAATATGGAGTGGAGTGAAAATATTACCTCAGATACAGTAGTACATGTACGTAGGCTGTCAGCTTCAAAGATTTACTGGGAGTTGACGGGCAGTTGGCTAGGAAAAGACTTGGGCAGACATTTACTCCTTGATGAAACCCTACTAATTTCTAAGCATGTTTCTTTTTTATCTGATCCTGACAGCCCTGCTGAAAGATTAGAGTCCCGGTTTCCAGCAGACAGCAAATCAAGTCTTCAACGTGTACATGAGGATGATACTAGTGAGATTGTCTCACACCAGTCACAGACATTGCTTGTCAGATCCCGGCATGCTGCGGCCAAACACATCTTACCCAAGAGCTTGCTGACACAAGTACACAGCAGGCACAAATCAACGGCACCTTTGCGAAGCCAGAAAAGAACAGCAATGAACTCAGTTTCTTCATCCCAGCTTGCCAGGAGTTCCTCACCTGTTTTCCTTCACGGACCTAAGACAGTCTCCCTGCTTCCCCACAAAAAGTTACCCACTCGGACACCAGAAAGTTCAGACAGCAGCACTGAAGAAGATAGTGATAACGAGTCAAAGAACATCACTGCCAGGAAGCACAATACGTATTTCAAGAAAAAAGGAAACAAAGCAGGAGTTCTAAAGAGGGCAAGTAGCTTAAATTGGGAGAATAGTTCTGGAGACGCTGAGTCAGTGTCTGTGAGTGTGAAGGATAGTACAGATACATGCAACTCTTACCCAGGGACCCAAGCCAGTTGGCAGTCAGAAAGGGAGCCTAAAAGCTGCAAACTCAACCGGCATTTGTTAATTGGAAGAAGCTCAGGCAGTAGTAGTTCATCAGATTCAGAATCACTTCTCTCTCCAGCCAAGTCACAGCGAGGAAAAGTACAAAGAACCACTGTAAGAACAGTTCCCGAGAACTTCTGTGAAAATGCAGCCACCCTGGAGACAGCATCATCTTGCCACAAGCATGGTGAACACTTGGAAAGGCCAGGAAGAGGCAAGCGGGAACTGAGCAGAGGTGAGGGTCAAGTCCAGAGGGCTAAACGGGTCAGAGTGTCACTGACATTCAGCAGTGTGTCATCTGATTCATCAAGTTCCTCAGACTCTGAAGTAAGTGAAAGTACCTGTACCAAGTCAGATTGGTCATGTTTCAAGTCTCAAGAGAACACCCTAGAAACAGTCTGCAGAAGCAAGGAGTACATCAAGCCTAGATGTGGCCAACAAAGCACTAGTCCTAAAAGGGCAACTAAACAGAAAATGGTGACCCTGTTTGGAAGGACATCAAGTGAAGATGGCGAGGATACAACAGAAGAAGATGTTCAGGAAGTCTTGGATGACCAGAGGGATGATACAGAAGATGCCCTGGCAAGCTCTGTTGCATCTGGTACTTTCACCATCGGGAAGAAACCATGTTCTGGTTCAGAGAGGGACGACTCAGTCATACTCATAGACATCACTCAAAGTGCTGAGAGAGGGGCTTTGGCTGGACATTCTAGGCCAAAGTTGAAAACAAATCCTTTGTCTAAACAAAGATGTGGCAAAAATTCTGAAGGGTTGTCCCCTGTCTTTCCTGTACATTTACCCACCCACAAGGGGCTATCTGGAAGATTTGACGATACTTGTGCACCCTTGTTTGTCAATAACTTGGCAGTCGATGGAGCATTCAAGACTACTCATACCAATTCATCAAAAGCAGCAAAAAGCTCACACCACATTCTTGGCCATATCCCAAAAGATGTGTTGTCCATGTCACCTGTTTTGGAAACAGAAGGATCGCAATCAGGTAAATTATCTTCTTGTGCAAAGCAACAGATTAATACCGCTGTGGTCCAGGATTATTCTCAATGTCGATCACAGTCACCAGTCTTTGGTTCTCAATCACAAGTCATCAGTTCTCAATCACCTGTCATCGGTTCTCAATCACCAGTCATCAGTTCTCAATCACCTGTCATCGGTTCTCAATCACCAGTCATCAGTTCTCAATCACCAGTCTTTGCTTCTCCATTACCAGCCATGTGTTCTCAAATGCCAGTCATTGGTTCTCACTTGCCAGTCAGTGGTTCTCAGTTGCCTGTAATCGGTTCTCAGTCAACAGTCATCAGTTCTTATTTGCCGGTCTGTGGTTCTTCATCACCAGCCTTGCATGTAGGTTTTCAGTCTCCAGTCTTTGGTCCCACCTCTGCCGGCAGTGGGAGTTTGGAAAAAAGGGATGGTAAGTTTTCTTCAAACCAAGGCAAGCAAAGCAGCCACATGTCATCTGAAGCAAAGTCATCCAATTCCCAAGGGAACACAACTGCCACAGACGTGGGCAATGAATTCTATTTTCCCACAACCTCCTTTGAGGAGAATCATCACCAGTGGTTGAAAGAAGTTCCAAATACAGCTCACACTGAGACTCCTGCAACATCTGGCCCCTCTAAAAACTCAGTCACTATTTTCAATAGAAGCTTCTTTGGAAACTCACAAGAGGAAGAGGAATCTGTTTGCTTTCCTGATGCAAAAGATACAGGACATTTATCTTGCAAAGAGGATTGCCAGCAAAGGTTGGGGCAAATTCCAAGTCCATTAGAAGCATGCAACGAGGGCAATCCAAAATCTTCCCTCTGGCCAGTTGGTGGTAGGAGGAGACATAAAGGTTTAGAAAGCAAATTTAGGGCCATGCACTCATCTCATTCACAAAATGCTCCACATTCAACGGAAGATCATCATCAGCAGTTAGGCCAGATGAGGGGGGACATCGAGATTGTGTTGAGCTCTTCATCGTCGGGTTTTGACAGGACTAGGCATTACGGCAAAGGGATAAAGAAAAAAACATTTCACCAAGATGCTAAACAAGACAGAAATCAGAGCTTTCAACGGCACAAAAGATCAAAGGGTAGTCCTTTGATTCAATCCAAAGGGCAAGTAAACAATGCACATGCACAAGACCGTCATGTAGAAGAAGTCAGAAGTCAAGCAATAACACAACAGATCCACAGTGCGAGTTCACAGACCACTGTTAATAGAACATTTCCAGATTCCCACCTTGATGTTCAAGTGCTAGACAGTCTCAGCTCCACCCAAAGCTCAGTCAGATTACCTGTGAAGGCACGGCAAAAGGCAAGGCGCAGTGTGCACTCTGAAGTGTCTGGAAACCAAGGGGCAAGACAGAAGAGGAACAACAAATTTGGCAGGAGCACCACAGTCTCACAACCTGACGTCCAAGTTGTTGAGAAGCAGGGCTCTAGACTAGATGAAAAAGAGCCGTCTGAGAGAAAAACAAGAACTGGACGTGTGGTGTTCTCTGATAGCACTGATTCAACAGACATTGATGTTGTGGAGCTAGTGCGACAGCTGGATGAAGATGAGAAGATGGCGAAACAGCTCCAAGTAAGTTTACTTACACTCTGCTGGTGGTGGATTTTAAAGCTAAAAGCTAAGGATAAAATATTTCTTCAAATTTTGAACAGAATTTCTTGAACATTTTTCTTTCAAACTTAGCTCATCAGATTGTTCTGAGCAGGGTTGTTACAACACATGCACTGTACCTGTACAGTGGAATGCATGAAATTTTCTTGTTACATGTATTTTGAGACAATCTAAATATTAATATGTTGGTTAAAAATTTTTCTAGGAGCATTTTGATGCAGAGCTTGCCAGACTTACCCAGCAACACAACGAGATAATGTCTGATGTTCCACAGGTGAGTTCTCAGCTTTTATTTGGTTAGACGTCCTGTTCGGACACTTCAAAAAATTCACCACTTCCTGCCTGGCACTTTTTGATGTTCAGGCTGCTGGGCCAGGTGCTTTTTCATTTGTTTCCATTTTTCTAAATTCTTCAAAAATTCATATCTTCATTTATTGATTGCGTGCACCCAAAAGAATGACTGTCCTGTTGCCACTCTAATCTGACAGCTAACCTACATTGACGTGTGAGTATTGTAGCCACGCATGCTGCCCAGTAAAGAGCCCCCATTATGTTGCATAATTTCCCCTTAGTTTGGAAATTAGCCCAGTGCGTTGGTACACTGGCTGGCCGGGGTTGCTATGCAGAGCGCGTGGGCCATGAGGCTGAACCGGTCCATTCAACGGGCACACTGGCACAGTGAATGCTGCACAACACGGCCAGATTCCACAAGTGCTCAGTGGTATTGTATCGCTAATCGCTGGAGCAAATGCTTTTGTCCATGCTTATAATCCACTGGCGCTGGCAGAGGCAAACAATTATACTGTTTCAAAACAATGACGGATTATCTAAATATAAGTATATGTTGAGTAAGGACAAAAGCCTCTTCTAATGGCCAGCACTCTGCAATGACAGCATATGAACCTTCACTGGCAAGTCCCAGCAGCTCGGTCTTTTGTTCCAAGTTCGGTCAACCCGGCCATTAATAAAGGCCAATTTTCCAGTCCAGTGAACCCATTGTTTCCCATCAATGATGGAATTGCCTTCGCTGATGGCCCAAGCTTTCTACTTACAGCAAATAAACTTTTCTAAAAACACCCAGCAACTTTATTTTTAGTTTTAAGAGAGAGCTCCGAATTCGGGAACTCGAGCCTTGCGGCACACACCGTGTCTCCAGTACTGGGCTCCCCGGTACCGGAGACACAGTGTGAAGTGTTTAATGGATTTGCATTATGTACGTGCACTTCATGACTGAATTTTGTGCATATCACTTTTTTAGTTTAAATGTTAAACATGTGATTGCCAGTCCTTCCAAATACTCCTCTTATTTTCATTTTGCTCATTATTTTTTAATACATTTCAGCAGGTTATTGCATGGCATCTTCTGAAAAAATCACTCATTTCCTGGTTCAACTTCAAGAGAAGTTGCTGTAGTCCCCCAGACACCACATTCAAAAGCACATATGCTAACTGTCAGTATTTCAAATATGATCGGCCCATTTCGGAACTGTGTCCATGAATGACATCCAAGATATCTGGGATGTGTGAAGGTCCCAATACCAAGGCAAGAGAGCAACTGTGTTGCCCATCAACAGAAAAAAAAGGGCTGTGCAATTCTTGAATTAAGAAACTCTGGGTTAGGCAACTTCTGGCTTGACACAGTGGCTGAGATTTAACCTTTGAAAGAAAGCAGACAATATTTTCAGAAGTCACATTTCTGATAACCATTTACATGTACAGTGTGTATAAGGACTTACCATGGGTGTTACTCCCCAGCTTCTTGAGCCCATTGCCATCCCTCCCCCATTACCCACTCTGCCACACCCCCCACCACTCTTTCCCAATCCCCTGACCATCATACCCCCGGTGCCAGGCAGAGGGCAGGAGATGAGATGGAGGGATGACTTGATGGACATGAACCCTGTCAATGCTTCCATGATGGCAGAGATGGGACGCTTCCTGAATGCCAACACGGAGACTCAACCCGGCTATGGCTATCGCGGGGTAAGAAAACTAGTTGTGTATCAACGACACCGTGGACTGGGGACTTGACAGCAATGATGGTAGGGGTAGGGTGAATTCGTTGTGTGCTAATGAGGGAGACGCTATGTGTGCGAGTGCTCATGCTGCACCTGTATTTGACAATCATTCTGATATTTTTGGGGTCAATTTTTCGTCACTCGACCATATCTTGCAGTGTATTTTATTAGTTCAGTGATTCAGTACTTCAACTATCAGGTTGCTGCCCTCAGGTAGTTTTGATCACAGTGTCTCTCAGAATGAAGCCTGCCCTGGTTTGCATCATTATGAACAGCTTTTCAGTCACTAACAAAGTTCATTTGATTTTTTTGGCCAGAATAATTTTCAGCATTCTTCTATTAAAGATTTCCCACCCTTGAAGCTAGTTTTCCACAAGTTTTTGTATCAGTTTGAGCATATCCACTCTCATAAGAGCAGTAGTTGATTCCTGTACCATAAGTGGACATTCAGAGAGTCAATTTTAATGTCTATTTCAAAGATTGGAAGTTGGATCTATACTGAGAGTACTTTTTTTGGGATTAAAATCTGTAGAGACAACGTAGAGGTCGTGCCAGGGGTCGAGGTAGGTCACGAACCAGAGGTCATCACCAAGTGGAGCCCGATGGGAATGATTATGAGGTTTGTATAAACCTAAGTGAGGAATGCACACTTTTTCCGCTTCCCACTTACACAAATGACCAACCATTATTTATGACTCTTTTTTGTTGAGCACCAGATTAGTACGAGGTCGATTTTTTTGGGGGGGGGGCAGTGTATACAAGTATTTATCCAGCGCCAGCAAATTTATACTGAACAATATTTTCCTGAGCACATGCGCAGGTTTTTTTTTGTGTGTGTGGCATTCGAAATTCTTACCATAACAAATCTTAGTCTGGTTCTAAACCAACATAGTCATTGTGACTTCGTATTTACAAGGTAGGGAATAACACCATTTAATAATTTCAGACTTTTTCCCTTTGATTTGGAAAAAATCCTCCATAGCTATGAATTGGAAAGAAAATGCAAAACCGTGGATGATAGAAATAATTTTGAATTAACAAAAGAAGAATATTGTTCATTTTTGGTACCAAAAAAAGACAAATGCTGGGATTTGAACCTACATGGATGTCGTGTGATCTTGTGATGTATACGCTATCCACTATACCACTAATGCTTCTCAAAAATAGCTGTAATTGTTAAGCTTTATAGTGTCACTCATGTATATGTGTCAAAGACTAAAATTGGCTAAATACTGTTTAGATAAATTTTGCCGGCACTAACTATATATACACATAGTTCTTTTGTTGCTTTGGTTCATTGGGGTAAAGCACATGCCGCATATTAACAAGTTAAATCCTTTTCTCTGTTTAACCCTCCAAAACACCATTGTTAATTGGTAGTTTGTCAGAGAAGCTGTGAACAATGCAAGCAGGGAAACTGCTTCAACATGGCCAGCATCTGTGAACATGTGTAGTGTATCGCATGTCCATCTAAAATGTCATGGTTTAGAGAAAAGAAATACAACGTTTTCTGCACAGTGTTTTACAGTGCCAGGTTGTAAGCTAACACAGATTTGCATACATTCGTGAGCAAAAGTGTACTTCAAGAGAGAAATTTTGTAATCAAGATATGGCAGAACCTTAGATCTTGTGCTGTCATAAAGTTGTTGTTACTGTAATTGATTGCTGTTCAGCACATGACAGCAGACCATTGAGCAAAGTTTGGGGAAGTACTTATTGACTGAATTCTGTTTGCCATTTGAAGCAGAGACCCTTCCCTCGGTAAACAGTATCTGCTTTTATTAACATAGCAATTGTGTTCTCATTTGTGAAGAAAAAGTTGGAAAATTGTAAATGTCAAAAAAAGATCCACTTTGGAATAAGGGGGAGGGGTCAAACAGTGATTAAAGAGGAGTGGAATAACACACAAAATATATTCCACTGTAAAATTAATGTCACACACCCTTAAAAAGTCTCATTTTCCCACCATTGTCCTGTACCTGTAGCAACTCTGGAACCTAGTAGAGAGGGTCGGTGATGTTGTGTCCAAGGGCCTGCCAGCCTCCTCAATCAACCTGCTGCCCACGTTCCTCTACTCGTCAGGCCAAGATTCCAGCGAGAAGGAGTGCTCCATCTGCATGGGCGACTACGAACTGGGCGAGAACATGCGGCGCCTTCCCTGCTTCCACTTCTACCATGCAGCCTGCATCGACAAATGGCTGAAGGTGAGTTTTTGAGTGTCGTTAGGTGGGTCCCCCACAGAGCGAGTCCTTCAGCCTTTTTCTCAGTAATTTTGCACCAGTTTGCATGAGCAAGAGCAAACTGGGTTCTTTGTTCTGGCATCACTCAGTCTGGTATTTTTTACCAAAAAGTAGACATTGTGTGGGTGACAGATGTTGATGCAGGTGAACCTCGTTAATAAGAGGTTCCTCAGACTTCACAGATTACCTTGTTATAACAGGAACCATGTATTACCAGGAATGAAAACAATGAAGAACATTAGGTCTGAGGCCTAAAATGTCCTTGTTATAAGCAGAAGGTTGTATTGACAGTGAGTGCTTTTATTAACCCCTTGACGACGGGAATTTCTTCCGGAAAGCTGACTCCAAGAATTCCAGCCTCGCTTGGCCACGAAGGCCACCTGCCAAACTGCAAAATCTCGCTTTGTGGCCCTGCATGCTCTGCACGCTTTGAATTACACTGTGAAAAGGCTGATTGTTCGGTGGCTCTAACCACCCTTCCTCATTCCCATTGCCTCTTTTCAAAGTGGGGACTATTGTGAAACTGGTGATTATGATGCAAATTCTTCTTTCACCGTGTTCGCTCGAGCGTGGGCCGAGAATAATAGCTGCAAAGCGGGCTGAGGATCTCAATTTTTACAGCGTGTTTAGCCGCCTCCCAGCACGAAGGGGTTAACAAGGTTCAACTGTATTTGATATTTATGCACACTTTGCTAAAATCTGTTCAGGTCTTTGACTCAGAAGTTGGCTGTAGTGACTTCCAACTCATTGTCTTAGGTTCGGTCATATACATACAAGTACAGACAACATGTAACTTGTGTGCTACCAAATTAAGAACTTGGCAAATTAACACCTTGAACTGAATTACATGTATGTTTCTACAGGAAGACCCAGATTAGCTGGGCTTTGCCCATTTAGGGTTAAAAACTGATATTCCCTAAAGTCAATGGACAGCAACTCCAGACGAGTGAGTATTCCAACTGTGATATGCTGTCAATCACTCCTGAGTTTGTACTGACCAACTTGAATGTCCATCAGAGTACCTGGTACGTTGTTTGACATCATTTTACTCTCATTTTCCTCTTCTCATTGTCTGTGTAGGACAATCGGATCTGCCCTGTTTGCCGAGAAGAAGTCAACTTTGAAGCAGTGAATTTCACGTGATGACATCTCCCGCCTAGACTAAAGATCTGTCAATGCCACAGTATCCCCGCAGTACTTGTACATCAGTAATAGCATTGAAGGCAGCAGAAACTCAGTGTAGGAACGCTCCGTTATCACTGTAATGGTGTAATGGTGAACAATTCCGCCTTGGATCAACTGAAGATGTTAACAGACTGCAGTCACAGTTACAAGCGTGAGGGGTAAATACGCTTTTTATCAGGCATGTAAGAGTCCATTGACTTCTGTGCAAATGGTGAATTGTTGTAGAGGCTGTAGAGGAGCATGGTTCAATATTCATCTGCAGGTCTTTGATATTTCATATTTTACCTTACCTCTCCAATCTCCCGACCCAGAAAGGGCTAGGGTATACTCAGTTCCAACCATTATCGCAGTAACTGTATTATCGCGGCATTGGAAATTTTGAATTTTGCATTGCCAGTGAGTTTCCACTTGGCAAATTTCACCCAGGTAATCAATGAATTATGGCCCGAGGATATGTTTTATGAAAACACAGTGAAAAATTTTGCAGGTTTCCGTAAGGTTTGATAGTTTTCAAATTAGATGTCACTTTTCTGAAATTTGAAAACTTTTCTTTGTCATGTCCTTCATTACCTACCATCTGTCTCTTTAACAGTTATTTTTAATGCCACCCTGCCCTTAGATATGTGTTGATGGGTTCCCATATGTCACTTTCAAAATGGCCAAAGGTGTCTAAAGACACTAAGGGCTTCTGCGCTGAAAATTTTTTGTTTCATGAGTAAAGCGCGCCCCCAATCTCAATTAGAATAGACTTTGCATCAATTGTACTTCTACCCCCGGGGCAGTTATGATTGAATCGACATTAATATCTCAATTTTTTTGCTTTCCTTAAACAACTTGAAGAATTTGCTAGGGATATTTCTAACTATAGCTATCCCTAACAGTCCCAAATCCTCCGATTTCAATATGATTTTTACATACACCCTAGGGGGTTATGGTTAATTTTGAATGAAATAGTTCAGGTCTAATGAAATGTTTTTAAGTTTTGGGGAATTTGAACTCAGAAAGCAGACATTTTTAACAATTGTTTCAGACATCTATAAAAGAATGAGGCCACCAAGAAAATGAAATATGTGATATTTATTATTCCTTTTGCAGACACCAATTTAAGTAAATAAGATGAATGTCAAAGTTGTTGCTGACAAAAGATTTGGGTAAAAAAGTTCTGGCGAAACAAATGAAGTCATTCCTTGCGGATTAATAAGTGTAAGGTGACGCGGTGCAGTTGTTCCCATCTTGTTCTCTCAGCATTTGGCATCTTTAAGGAAGAGACTGGAAACAATAGATTCAATTACAGGTAAAATGGAACATATCACAAAATGAGGCTATTTTATTTCCTCTGAAAACTAAATCATTCTTTTTATTTATTCAAAGACAAAGTGCTTGAAGGGCCATCGTAGGAACCATTTCTGAATACCACGATAATAGAGACTCCTCTGCTTGCATGCTGTGCGCGCACACAACTTTTCTGAGCTATTGGAGAGGAATGTAAATCGAACCACAAACAGAATCTCATGAATCAAGTTAAAAAGTAAGAGTTAAACAACGAAAAATAGAATAATTCAGGAAGGTGAGCAAGCAATCTTTATTTTGATCAGGAAATTTCATAACTACCGCCAAAAAAAGAGTAACCCATGCATGGGAGTGGCTATTGGGTCTATATCAGGTTTTTGCACAGTGGCAGCCTCTAGATGTACATGCATATAACATGAACACTTCTCAGGGAACTTGTATCGGTACTGACGAGAGTCTGGCAAAGGTTTGGTTTTATAGACAGGTGTTAATAATGTGAAGTATGTTGGTCTTGTAAAAAAGTCTATAATAGTAATGAGTGAATTATTTTATAGCTTGTTATTAGATGCATCCAGTGTTGTGTGGAGGGGGTCGAATTTGTTTTATTAAACATTAATAATAATAGTTTATCAAATATTAACACCAAAACCCTAAGAAACAGCACCACGAAATAATAGCAAGGATGTGACCACGAGTAAGGATTTTGATATTTTTTCTCACGCGGCATCATGTTGAATAAAGCCCAAAATGTGTTGGCTTTTGAATTTCTGCACTTGCTGTCATGGGAAGTACGGTTTATTAACAATGTACATTCATAATCCCACGTTATAACCTCCACTTCTCAGCATTTGTTAACACTTCTTGCAAGGTATTGAATTTCTGTTTACCTTTTCATTTGCTGTAACCCATATCTTATTTTATACAATACCTGCGTAAATGGGTTGAGGTTTAATTGATTGGCCTGTTTATGGATGATGGTCTGACAACTTGCCCCCCCCCCCAACTTTGAAAATCCTTCTTCCGTAGTTGTTGGTTTTACCTCGGCCTACCCCGTCAGGGTGTATATTCTGCATGTTGTAATAGATTAACATAAAAATGGATGTATTGTTATAGAGTCTTCCCCCATTAGACTTTTATTTGTACTTTTGAATATTTAACAAATGTGTACTCCCACTTGATAATAAATTAAGGCAACATGATATTCTGCTTGATTGATATGATAATCATCCACTGAATGATGAATCCATATTCCATAACCACTGAATAAATGAACCGTCCGCCAACTCCTTGAACTGCTGCCGATTTGTATTCAAGAAGTGCCACATCAATCCTCCGTTTCGTCTGTGTCCGTCCTTCCATCATTGTTTCAGACTTTCACCACCGGTGGCGTCACGTACATTGTCCTTCAGTTTCGCGCGAACATTTTCTGCTTCATATTGATGTTTTCTCTCCTGTCTGTGGCCCGTATGCACATGTATTTCTCGGTTACTGTACAAACAAAGTCCTGGTTCACGTCATCAGAAAAAATAGGCTAATGGTCTTTAGGCCTGGGCCGATTATATGAATATTGGATCGATCAGCGAACATTCTAATACCCTGCAAAGCAAATGTCTGAAGGTAGTAATGAATGAAACAAAGAAAAAATGGTTTGAAAAATAAAAGTGTACATACAGTTTCAGGAGTGATGAGTAAACTTAACGGTAGCTGAATGCCAACAACAGAAGCACATGGACAGACAGGTTGCACTCGTTGCTTGCTGTCATAAGGCAATATTGGGGGGCTGGGGGTGTACCGGGCTTCCAAAATATTCTGCAGCGGATGTGTCGTTGCACATATAACAACGCGTTTTGTTGTATTCCCGGAACCACCTGCTTGTTCAATGCTGGACCTTTATCTTTTGGTGGGTTTTATATGTTTGGTGCATCACCGGATAAACATGATTGAAATGATACCCCGCATAGACACAGATTACATTATAACACTTGTCAAGCCTGCTGTCGCCATGGCATGCAGTAATTAGCGTGCCCCCCCCATGCAAGAAAAGATCTAATGTGCGCTGTCCAATGAGTAGATGTCGCATGAGTTTTGGATCGCGAACAATCAGGTGGCTGATAATTGCATGTATTTCTCGTCTTGTTTCATTTTTTACCGACTATGTACAATAAGGGATGTGCGGGATTTTCTTGTGGTTGTCGCGCTCTGCGAAAGTATTTCCAACGCTCGTAATCGATAAACGTGCACAGTCTGGCAACTTGCTCCTTTAAAATAAAACACCCCGGATAATCAGCTCAATTTGTATTCATTCATGCACATGACAAAGTGTTACACAAACGAGATCTAAATCCTTTTCATAAGAGGGTGGTGGTTTGCAGTTCTTTCACCAACATAATGAGGTACGAGGGCGCCCTTTTGACGTCATAAGACACTCCTTCCAAAAGAGCGTCAATCCTTCGAAATCACCAACCAACAATGTTTTCAACACAAAGCGGCCGCTGTTGTCCAAACAATCTGTTCAACATGAAAATCATAAAATAAAGTTGAACCTATGCCAAGAAGATGTAGAAAACTGCGCGTAATAATTGTGCACAAAGCTAAGGAGACATTACTCCGCCCAGACATCAGACTTTGCGCTTATTAACATGAGAATCATCATAAAATCCTAAATTTTGAGGTTTCTCGCTTTTACCGCTACAAAGGCCATGCTATATGATGTACATGCTACATTTAGGTCAAAGAAAATCCTATTGCATCTGTACATGGTTCCTTTAAAAGTGTACCCCAAATGTGAAATCTGGATGATTTGTTGTTAGAATTGACGATACAGTTTGAAGTCGTTGGGCTATTCTTTAAAATGTTACTGAGCTTGCACATCTTCAGTGTACCAACAAAATCTTACAAATAAGATATAATAAAAATAAACTTAGGCTGAAGTTTAGAAGTTCGTGCGCGTTTTCATGCTCCATAGGGCAACGGGATATCAGAACAGTTAAAACGCACCTCGCATGCATGCACGCCGTGTTTTACGTCCGGCATGTACGCGCACCATTGTAATTTATGCATTCAACATTGAATTGTGGTCATTAAAATTTGAACTGTTTTGGCCACAACACATCCATCAAAATCTAGGTGCGTCTGTGCAGTAACCTTGCGCTCTACAGAGTTGACGAATCAGATTAGACATAGGCCTAATTGGGAATCGTCGGTGGCCTTACAGGTCCTTTTTCTTCACAAAGATGCTTACACTATGTTTATAGCCTATTTTAAAAGCCGTATGAAGTGCTCTATAGAGGCTTTGCGTAGCAGCCATCTTTCAGGACAGTTGTTTTGTTCTACAGGAAAACCTCCTTTGTGCATACCCTGTGGAACCAAAGCACCGGCCTGCAAGATGGCAGCCATGTCAACCCCCCGTGCTTATATACGTTTGCATGTGACGCGGCTGACTCTCTGCAACCGTTTGGCCATCCTTTCTTTTATATGGCTCTTTTGCCCAGTGCAGTAATACAGCGAGCCCCTTTTACGGTCACTGTGGCAACGGAAAATTACAAAATTTGTCGCGGCTGTCAGGGGCGCTGAAGCGCACACAAGAAGCACGGCGTGTTCTCTCGCAGATGTTTCCGGATCCACCGTGTGACTGAACTCTCAAGCCTCTGCTGCGTCAGATGGCAAGTCAAACGGAAGTTGTCTCTCTTTACACCTGCGCGACGGCTTGCTTGCGAGCTTGCTGTTTAGTGAATCCGTCGGGGAAGGGGTCTGGCGCAGACAATTTCTGTAGACTTCAATAACTCACGCAGGAATACATTTTGACGTTATACCCAGTTCCTGCCTCGAGCGGGTAGTGACCACAGGCCAAAAGGATCGGGTGGAACGACTTCGTTAAAACGACGGAGACACGAATCCGAACGATTCCCGACTCCAGGCAGTGCAGTGGAACTAGTACGGACAAAAACCGGACGGCCAGAAGCTGATGCATTTTCTTGAGTACATGGAGGCCTATAGTTGTTAAAAGTTGCTGTGTGTGGTTTAGAACCAAGACTATTAATTCTAAGACACTGATACTGCCACACTGATTTGTGAACGCCATAGTCTCAGTACCAAGAGTAGAGGTCACTCAGCAGCCCAACCTACCTCAGGCTAAGTTATCTCGTCGAACAGCAGATAATGGTAAGCACATTCCAGTTTCATGTTGATATTGGGCCTACTATGATAGACGAAACACGGTATTGTGTGTGTGTTTGTGTCTTCGTTGGTCAAAGTGTATCAAATCGATGAACAACTATTACGCAGCATCCATGTTAACATACTAACTATACTCCATTCAACGGCAAAAATCATTGTCTGAGAAAATACCTCGAAAGCCAACACTAAGCATCCAAGGAGCTTTTCTTATTAGAAAGGGCACTGTTTTCGACCAACTATACAGTATACATTTCCACAGAAAGCCTGTCGTCGTTGAATTAAGAAAATTTCCACATACATGTTCATTACAGTGTTTGCAGCTTTAAAGTATGTTATTTTCGTGCGACTTTTACGTATCCCATCCCAGACATCTCTTAAGAGAATTGGAGTTTTCTTGCACAAGTATCCCACTGCATCGTCGGTACTGTTTCAACGCTGACACTGTTCCTGTTTGCGTATGGCCTTTCGTTGTAATGCATTATCTGAAATGATATGTCTGCTAGAAATCCAATTACCTAGCAGTCAGTGGAGTGAAACGGCAGGGTGATTATCTGTAATAACGTGGCTGGTGCAATTACAGTGTCGACAAAGATGATGAAGGCTGCAGTCATCACTGCATGCAAGACCTGGCTTCCCAAATATATCAGCTCAAAATGTGCCTCTTGTCGTGTAATGTGACGCTTCGCATGAAACCCATTCAGAGCATTTCATTGATGTTCAAGTAGTTTATGTGAATTGTTCCGTTGATTTGTCGTTTTTAGTCAGGGAGACCTTCCTGTTTAGACGCGTACCAAGAGCAGAAAGCATTAAAAAGTGAGTTTGACAGATGTACATGAACTAAAAAAAAGAGGTACGTTTTGTGTCTTTATTTCGTTGCTTTGAATTTGACTAATTTACATGTATCTGTAAAACCCAAATGAAGTGACAAATACCAGAAAAATAGTGTGCCTCATGTGACAGGCTTGTTCAAAAGATGAAATCAGAATTTGAGCAAAGGCGCCTCGAATTTAAAATTAAACTATGAATGAAAACTGAAAAAAATATTGTTTAAGATGCTATTACTTTAATCTCAAATTACGCCTATGACGCTTTAAAAAGTTGTGTAGGAGTAAGAGTGAATAATCCACATTTGGGGTTTTATTTATATGTTTGGTGTTGTTTATATTTTTACATTCACTTTACCAAATGTCTGTTGTGAACATTTCCAAATGCGGCAACTATGCCCAACCGCTGTCTCTGATGTTAAAAATAGCCCTTGACCCGTCGTTGAATTGAAACCCTGCTTGGTGCATAATCAGAATCTGGTTTCTACGATTATAGAGACGCACCTGGTCCCTTGCAGAGTCTCAAATTTTGTCAGATTCACAGCCACGCGTGGTTGAGTTTGATCCTCGAAGAAGAAATCCAATTATAAAGTAACTGGCTTGGTATTGAACCAAACTCACTCTTTCCGCACCGATTTGAGAATCTCTTTAAAAAGGAAATGTGATACAAATTAACATGTCAGATAAAACAGGAAAACTGCCCTCGTCAGTGAATAACCAGTGAGAAGATAGCTATGCTCCTGTCGAGTGTAACACTTCTTTGCTGAAGCTCCGAGAAAAAATAATTACAAGTCCATCAAAGTTTAATGAGCCGAGGAGAGACTGTCACAGTTGGGTGGTGCGTACTAGCGACAAGACGGGCGTGATAAGCCAGAGAAGACTGGGTGAAGAATGTCGGGCTTGTAACACCGTAAAGACGGGGCGCGTCGCCAGCTTCGGGCATGGGGGAAGTACATTACATGTTGGGGGACATCACAAGAACAACAGATAATTTTGATGCTTGTGGTTTTTGTCGACGGAGCAGCTAATCGACAAAAGGCCGCCCCTGTATGCCCCCTGGCGACTGCCCTGCTGTGAGGTAAAAGACTTCGATGACTACAGCCATGAGCGTAAATCCAGGGGAGATGGGCTATTGAATTAACCCCCACACACTTTTGTGGCGAGCAAAAAATCAAGCGGACTGTGAAGGTTATTTGAGACTATCGACGACAAAAATGCATTCAATATCACTCACAAAAGGGGAAAAATAAAAAGGCATAAATATGCCCTTCTGAATGCACAGTACAGAGGTACATACCATGAACAATATCATGAACGTCGACCACAGTCATATGGTGTCAACCCCCTCCCTGCTTTTCAAATTATTGCCGGGCAAGTCATCCCCCCCCCCACCTTTCCACATCCCTGCCCCAATTGCCGGCACAGATTTACGCAGGGCAGGGCAGTTATTTTATTCCACAGGGAAACTTTCTTTGTGCCCACCCTGTGAAACAGATGCACTGGCCTGCAAGATGGCAGCCAGGCAAACCTTCCACAGAGACGATCTCAGTCAACACAGCAGTCTTTTCTAATTTGTTTAGGGAAATGTTTTTATTTTGCCTTTTGGCTTTGTCTTTGTTCAATTAATCAATTAATTAATTAATTAATTAATTAATTAATTGTTTGATTGATTTGTTTGTTTGTTTCTGTCTGTCTGTCTGTCTGTCTGTCTGTCTGTCTGTCTGTCTGTCTGTCTGTCTGTGTCTGTCTGTCTGTCTCTCTGTCTGTCTGTCTGTCTGTCTGTCTGTCTGTCTGTCTGTCTGTCTGTTTGTTTGCAATTACTTTTTCTTTAGTCTTTTTCTGAGATTTCACATGGGAGTGAACAAGCTTTAGCTGGGGATGTTCACTGCGCTATCGATTTGGTATGACTAAATTGGAATAAGATAAACGGTGTTTGCTACTCACCTGCGCTTTTAAGAGCACTTGCTATCAGGCCAAGACGACACCTTTCTTTCGAACTCGGAGAATAACCGGATGTATTTCTGGCCTACCTTTTCCTTCTTTTTTGTCTTCTTTTTGTCTGGAAAATTGGATATGAGGCCACCGGCCTAAGTCAATATCCAAGCGGAAAACAAGATTTGATGCCGTTTGATCTGGTTGGAGCTTGACAGAATCGGTCTCAGGGGTGTATTTCGTCAGCTCCGCCGGATGTATGCCGTGTCTCACCGGGAAATCCAGGGCTGCAGCTTCATAACCACCTCGTCTTTTTTGGCGTTGTCGGTGAAATCACGGCGCGAGCTATATAGGTATAGCGGGTATTTGGTTTTGAAGTTTTGCACAGGGGCAGAAGTGCGCAAATAGAGAATTCCAAATGATGGAAAAGGAGGAGCATTAAAGCAAGAAGGAACTGTCACAGAGGTTCCAGGCCCGTTGAGCTTAGTTATCAGCTGACGGATATAAAACGGCAGGAGGAAATGTGCGGTACGTGGAAATCCGTCATGCATGGCGTTAAATTTCAGCAAATTTTCTTTACTTCTTAAACATGCATTTTAGAAACCAATATCCTAACTCAATGAAATGTTTACAAAGAAATTTAAATCAACGTACGGTAGATTTCCAGACGACTTCTCTTGTAGAGAAATAATGATGAGGAAACGTTCAATTTAGATGGGAAAAAATGGGAATAATGATATTATTTTGCAGAAGCACGTTGAGTATATATCGCTAATGCACGCGCAACCCCAAGATTCTGTCTCGTTATTCATTTTATTAAATGAACTGTGCTGTAATTTATTCACATAACAGAGTATATTTTAATCATCATACTTAGTTCGCTTGATCTTGATCGCGAGTTTGGCTACTCGGCAGGCTTGCTTGCTTTTTATTTGTTTGTAATACAGTGCGTTATTATTCGTTCACTTTCGATGTTTAGCGCTCAGAGACTTCTAGTTGCTTACGTAATGAGTGGCAGTAGATATGGATCTGCTCTGCCCCCTCGGCCGATTTTTCCTCATAAGCCTCCCTTCAGTTTGTAATTGCGTCGGGTTTGACTTGTATCAAAAGATGCACTCTTTTTTTCTCTCTCTCGTGAGCAGAGTTGTTGCGCACTTTCAGGGTTATTTGGTGGTTGACAGACACTCTGCTAATGAAACTTGCCAATTCATACATTTGCTTTGTCGTACTACACATGAGCAAAGGCGGATCTAGAACAAAAGTTCGCAGGTGGAGCAATATTATTGTTTTTGAGGGGCCTTAAAGTTTGAAATTTCATCGTAAATCTTTTATGGCTTTTAAGGGAGGCAAGGCTGAATTAGGAGCTTTTTGCCCTATTTCGGAGGGAACAACCCTTTTTTTAATTACTTTTCGAAACTATTATAATTGACTGTTTACTTTTGGGGGCGTGGCCCTCATTACAGCCCCGGATTCCTTTTTGGTTTTTATACTGATGCAAATTTCAATATTTATGAGCAAAACCATGATGCCAGGGATAGATCTCAATGTTGCATTGATTTGGGCACAAATAACTGCTGGAATTTGTCATGTTTTGCTGTTCTATTTTTTTTTTATAATTTAAAAATGTTGCATAACACACGGCAACCCTTTCTCAGAAATGTTTCAATAAACAAATTCTGGGTTCACAATTGGAATAGAAACATTTATCACTGAACATCGTCTTCCCAGAATGACATGACATCAACAACAGTGCCCACAGCTGTCCGCAAAACATGGAGAAGTTTCAATATTTAAAAAGAAATACACCTCTCCACACATTTAACCTCAAAGTGAACTTTGTCACACACTGACGACCAGTGTAAAGTAGCACATTGGTGGGCACGGAAGTTATACTCATCATGGGGACTTCCTGCGTAAAGAAATAGAAGTACTGGAGCAGCGGGTTTGGTGTTAAAAATGGCCTCTCTATGGATTGGAAAGAACCCTTTTCGCTCACGACATTCGTTTGATCCTTCATAGAACATTCCTCTCGCTGTAACCTTGACGTCCAGGCCAACTGTCTCACTTGCCTGATCCACTTGCCTGAAACAACTGAATGACATAACAACCGTATAAAGTAATACAGGTTGTCACATTTTCCTGTCAAAGATCTCGCCAAGGATCACGAGTCGGCTGTGTGTAGGGACGAGTGGCAGGCAATTAATCCAAGGGGCACTCATCTCGAAGTAT